TAAACATACATAATTTAATAGACTGTTCAATATAAAATACACTTAGGTATAAAATAATTTTCAAATAATACCTAGAAATCATTTTTAGCTTTTTAACCTTTAAATTTTTGTTACCTCTTCTTTCAACATAATGAACAATCCAGGAGAATGTAAAACAGACAGAAAAGTATTTTATGAAAATAAAACAGAATTTGCAGAAAAGGGAAATACATTTTATATAAGACCTAAAAGAACTGACCTCAATTCTTAAACTTATCCTACTTTCTGCCAAAAATCAAACATAGTGGAAAACCCTTTTGGAACTTTGGTTTTGGTACTGCCATCTTTGCCGAACTGGATGTCCACCCTTACACCAACAATGGTCCACCTGGCTGAATCCAATATCTGAGCTCTAAACTGGAATTAAGGATGGACTGGCTCACAGTGACAACTCCAGACGGACATCAACAATAAGGTAAGATACAGGCAAGTATTCTAAGATCTAAAAAAGGAAAAAGAAAATAATAACAATAATAATCATTATAATAATAATAAACAAGAGTAAAATAAAAATGGGAAAATGAAGAAAATAAAGCATAATAACAATAATAATAATAACTATAGCTTTTACATGCTGACTTTTTAAACAACATGCTTTTAAAAGATCATTTTGAATGAGATTCTAGTTTCAATGAGATACTGTTTTGTAATAGTAACCATTTAATCTATTCCTACTTATAAGTTCTGAATAACATAAAAAATATATTAGCCATACAAATTTGGCATTTTTCATTTTTAAATTTTAAATTTTAAATTTAAATTTAAATTTTAAATAATTCTTCCCTATGATATGCTTTCCCATAAAATTGAGTTAAAACATATTCAACTTCCAACAGGTAAACAGTAACCTAATTCAAAACATAAAAACAAACAAAAGGAACAACACTCCTTTTACACTTCACTTCACATATCATATTTCACCAGCTGTATCAAAATGGACGGAAATTCATTTTAAAAATATGGATAACAAAGTTCCATTTTCTCCATGTATAAAAAAGCTACACACAAAAAAATACTTTTGAACAGACGTACCACACACTCAGTATCAACTCCTATCACATAAACCCTTCCTGCTTCTTTCCTTATAACCTCATCCAAACGGAAGCTACCAGAGCAGCAGCAATGAGAGAAAAGCTGACTGTCAATGCGGATGAGCCATTGCACCCGTCAGAGGTGCAATAACATTCCTCCCAATAGACACCATTCAGGTCCACACCCCAGTTGCATACGTTTGTCACTCCAGTCTCTGTGACTGAGGAACAGCGGCGGATAACAGTGCGCCAGCGGCCATCCCCTGGGAAAAAAATTATATTGATAGGTTGGTAGGAATCATATCAGCAACAATTATAAGAACAATGACAACAAAAATAATAATGATGCTACAAGTTTAAATAAACAATCAATAAACAGCAAAAATAACAGTTATAATAACAACAATAGTAATACTAACAGTAATAATAATAGCAATAGTAATAATAATAGTAAAAATAACAATAATAACAAAAATAGTAAAAATAGTAAAAATAATAATAACAATAAAAGTAATAATAATAATAATAATAATAATAATAATAATAATAATAATAATAATAATAATAATAATAATAATAATAATAATAATAATAATAATAATAATAATAATAATAATAATAATAATAAAAAAAAAACAACATTCATCACAATTAAAAGAAAAAGAAAAGAAAAAAAAAAAAAAAAAAACATTGTAACAATAACAACCAGATTCCTCCTATTGTCATCTAAAATCATACCCCTAAAAAATTACAACATCCAACAAGATTCAACAAATATAAGATACACAAATAAACAAAGAAGCAAAAAAGAAAAAAAAAATAATAATAATAATAATATTAATAAAATAAAAATAATAATAAATAAATAAAAATTACAGACAAAAAAAATCCAATAATAAACGTTAATACGATTATTCCAACTGGTGTACCTTAAAACTCCACATCAATTTGATGCACAACAAAAGAGCCAGAAGCATTGTATAAATGAGTACTTACAGATAAACATGCGTGGAGACTGCTTGGTGATCTTGACGCAGAACGTCCCTGGGGTCACAGATTCCTCCTGGAAGCAGTCAACAGGGATGTGGGCTTCCTCGTCAAAGTATTCATATGCGCCACACAGATCTCTTCCTTTTGGATCCTCATCGGTCGAGCACTGGTAGCATTTTATTGCCCCGGCTGCAAAGATGGTTTTATAGTATCAGTACATTCAGTATGACTTTGTTTCTCAATGATACAGTAGGGGAAATGGAGTGAATTGTGGCTATTCCTGAAAAAGATGTAAAGGAAATGGAATGACCATATGATCTAAGACAACCCAATTTGGTTTATGAAGTAGTCCTTTTCCTTTACAGCTTTTTCATGAAGAGTAATTTCAGTTATATGCATGATCTAACACAATAATAACATGCACATGAAAATTAGATAACAAGAGAGATTTACAAGTGATTCATAATAAATCTTGTTCAGTCATGTAATGTCATCTTAAATCTCCTTGATACAAGTTTTGCATTAACATTTACTAAACATTTCAAAATTTCTTCAATACCAAAAGGCTTTGAAGCAACATCAATCAAATGAAGCTGTTCTATTCTGATCACCATTAACATCAATGCTATAGTAGGGTTTTTGTAATCTAAAATTTGTTAAAATTTGTGAATTTTCCTTTGTTTTTATTACACAAGAATACAAAAAGACCTATCTAACTGATCCAGCCACTGTAACATCTTAAAACAATTATATTGTCTTACATCTTAATGCAGTTTAAAATTTCCTTGTGCTATACTTTGTTTACACACAATACATATAAATTCAAATGAAATCAGAGGGAAAAGGGGAATGAAGACGTAGCAATCAGCATGTGAATGAACAGAAAGTAGGGGTAAGAGTGCAATCATTTACCTTCAGTCTCAAATGCTTAATGTGGCCACCATGCCTTTGGCACTCCAGCAACAGGACAATACACCTCAACCATGTATACTCAGGCAAGATAATAGCTTGCAGACCTTCCTGATAATTTGCTGTCAAATAAGGAAGCAGTTCATGATCCACATATACTTATATATGTAGAAATCTGTTAGCCTATGGTGAAGCACCTAAGGCACAAAGGCCACAGCATTCACAGCTCTTCTTGTCTCTGGGATAAGAGATGGTGAAAATGGGTGCCTTTAATCCATTAGTTATAGGCTGCACGACTGTCACGTCAGGAAAAAATTTACCAACGGATCAGGTGACACAACTATGTCATCCTGAAAAAACTTGGCTAAGGGCCAGGGTAGCTGTGATGAAAAATTCAGTTAAAAGCCAGGGTGATGAGAATGACTCATAATAAGTACACAAAGCCCTTGGAGAAAGATTAGATTCTCAGGGAATTTAGCAAAGCCTCTTACATTATTTCCACTTGTAAACAAGGGTGAATTGACCACCTGTGAGCCATGGCTGGAAAAGTGCTGGCTCCAGAGAGGACACTACTTCCACTTGCAGGTAGCAAGGTACCTGGATCAGTAGGGATAATCATACCATTATCATTGCAATCCAATCTATAGCCCATTTGGCATGCAAAGAATGCACATACTGGCTTGTTGATTTTGTGGTAATTTTGGTAGAAATAAGCACTAAGGCCTCATTACCTCATATACAAACTTGTGTCAAAGCAACAAACCAGGACTTTATTTATGCATATATGGCACAAAAACAAGTGCTAGTTGTCCACATGTGGCATGCATCATCAGGCCTTCCAATGTTTAATCAGCCTAAAAGCACTGAATTAATATCATATATCTAATGTCATTGTCTTAGGATAAAAGAAAAAGCACTCATTGATATATGAAAATCTGCACAGGCAAAAAATATGGTTATTAATTTAAAAAATAGGATGTGACAAATCTCACGCATAGAGAAAATCCATTTGGTAAATAATTGCCAATACTTTCATTTATATTTCCAATGGAAAACGAGGTAATATTACACAATACGTTCGCATAATCAAATGTGACGATTTTGGTATCAATGGATTCCTTTCATCCTTTAGTACACACATATGTAGAAATTATGCTGCGGAACCATCTCAAACCCCACATTCCTGGCCCCAATAGCAAGGGAGGGTATGAAAGGTGCCAGGGAAATTGCAGGGTAAAATATGAATAATATACACAGAATCAATCATTATATTGTCTAATTCATAGGGGCCATGGAAAACAAAGAATCCTCCACAAATTCATAGCAGGACAGTGCATTGGACAGACTCAGCGTTGGGCTCTCCTGCATGTCAGTCATATGCTCTACCCTGCCATGAATATCTGGAGGATTCTTTGTCTTCCATTTCAGGGGTCAGGGAGGCAGCAGCCCCTTGCATTAGACAATATGGTGACTGATTCTGTGTATTAATATTATTCATATTTTTCCCCACACTTTCCCTGGTACCTTTCATGCCCTATTCTGCTATCAGGGATAAGATTATTGCTAAGAAGGGGATTACTGTGGCATAATTTTGAAATATTAGGATAGTAAAGAGGGATCCATGAAAACAAATTGTCATGATCAGTTACATGAAGGTCCACACTGGAATTTGCAATTCTTGTCCACCTGAAATATACACCAAGACCAAATTTGATATATGCTAAGCCAATTTTTCAAATAGTGAATACCTATATGCCAAAATAAATCAGTGGTATTAATAACAAGAAATATGCACCAGTACAACATTTTGAAAGAGCTGTCCACCAAAGACCTTTCATGGAGAGGGCCTCGGTTCCAAATTGGGTGAAAACATTCTTTAAAATTACTGAAAATAACATCTCATGCATGATGCAATGTAACTAAGTGAAACAAAAAATAATGATGACATGGTTGGATGGCTGTGTGACACTAAAAAATTACCTGTGGCTACACTGCAGCATCTTTTAAATGACAAATGAGGGTATTATTTAA